GACGAAATATAAATAAAAATAAAACAGATATAACCATAATTCGACTTATGGTAATATAATGTATATCAAAAATCTTTTAATCTTTAAATCTTGCTTATAACTTACTGCTTCATTAAATTCTTAATTCTTACGAGCAATGTTTGTTTAGAGGTTAAATTTTTAAGTTGAAAACCCTATTTCTGGGGGCAACTATTTTGGAAATTAACAATTGATTTATTTTTAGTATACATTTTGATTTTTTAAAATAAATAAACTCATACACTGCATGAATTACAAAGTAAATCCCTTCGGTTCGCACACGCATGCAGTCAGTGCTTAACTTAAATCATAAAAAAGGTTTACTTATTTCATAGCACTAATTTAGCTGTAATGTTTAAGTAACATAAACTGTCATTCAAGGCATTATACACTTACTTAATGGTTTAACATTTTATAAAATAATTTAAAAATAATTTTACTAGAGATATTCTAGTATTCATACGAAATACAAAATATTTTCGTTTCAATTAATCGCAGACGCTAGCATAAAATATTTTCAACAATCGCAGAATTATGTTAAACTGGGTGCCCAAATTGGTAACATATCCTATTTCAATAATTCCTAGTAAGAAAAAGCATACAATAAGAATCAAACAGTCAAGAACCAGTTGGGAAATCTTACCTTTCAAACTCATAAGGAATCATACATAAAATAAAAGTAGCAGAACGAGTAACAGTAAAAGGTTCTAATAAGTTTTTGCACGTAAATCAACGAAGCGGAGCACTGCGACTATGTTTGATCTTTTGAGCTGCAATAGACCTTAACCGAATAGAAGACATTCCGACTTCCTAATGAAAGCCAGAATGCCAGCCGTTGAGGACGTTCTAATGTCAAAAAGGGAGAGTAGTTCTTGACCCAGTGACCTCTTCCTGTCCCAAATCAAAGCTGGGCAGTCACAGAGAATGTGACTGGAAGTCTCGTCTGCTTCTAAGCAGAGTTAACAATCTATCTCTTCGGATCCATGGCGACCCGTTAAATATCCCACCAGCAAACTCAACTCTGTTCTGCTGAAAAAGGACACCTTACCATGAATGTAGGGATAAACTAATTAAAGATGATAAAAATCATTCTTAATGTCAAAAAGTAAACATGAACATAGATTGTAAATTAAATGTAGTGTTTTTAATCGAAAAAAATGTAATAATATTACCAAAAAAAATTAAAAAAAACTTTATTTTTGTTCACAATGTTGTTACTCGTATATCATAAAAAATATGCACCCTCGGAATATTAAAAAGATGTATACTCTATTTAAGTTATTCTTAATAAGCTACGAATACATTATTTCAATTATGATAATCATAGTAACGATGTCAATGATGAGTAAAAAATGTAATCATGTGAAAAGGACGATAAAAATGATAAGAAATTATGTATGTGTATACGGTATACGGTATACAGTATACCCACAGTTAATTGCATGAAAATATAATATTATTTTAACAGCACTCATACGCACTGTGGTCCAAAATAAAAACGTTAGTAATTAAAATAATTATAATGAAATTTAATTAATTAATAGCTTTAAAAACAGTTTTGAGTATTGAGAGATTTATTGTTTTAATTATTTAAGTCGTGATTTCTACATCAACTACGAATTTTCGTAATGACAGTAGTAAGAAACTACTATCGAGATATTTAGTAGTGCATAAATTATTTAGTTAAATACAGTAGTGAACTGTAAATATAGGGAATTCAGAATGTGAACAGGAGTGTAAAGGAATTTTCAAACTTAATTTAAACTTATGACAATTAAATTAATTAAGTCATACATATCACAATGTGTAGCTACATTACATACTAGCTATAATATATTCCATATTTAAATTAATATTATAATATAACTTTGTATCTTTAAAACACTTAATATTTCCTTCCTTTCTGTGCTTAATATACCCAACAAAAATATAATACACAACTTTTAATATTTTTTACTTTAGTGGTTCTGCAGTATTTTTTAACATCGTTATCCTTTTAAGCTTAACTTGAAATTCCCGCTAGATTACCATGGACGTATACATTGGGCTAATTTTACGCTGGACCGAATTTCTTAAATTTCTTTTGGCCTAGTCTTAACCAATGTTTCTTTTTGTTTTTTTTTTTTTCATCTCATGCAAAAACAATTTATTTATTTTTATCGCTTTGATTATCCTCTCGGTTTCTGGCCTGAGCATAATTTTTGCAATAACGACTGCTTTAATGCGAAATTATTGAATGTGTATTTTTTTTTGTTATATGAAAAAAGTTTTCGCTATAAAGGCGACCTTATAAAAAATGACACAAAATAAGAGGAAAGTAAAATTATAGGAAATAAAAAGCAAATAAAACAAATGCTGAGGAAATATGTAGTCGGATCCTACGTATATACTGAAACTGAAGAAGACTTTGGCTTTGTTTACTGAAACTGTGCCTCTGTATTCGTATTCGTATTTTTATTTATTTTTTACTTATTTTACGGTTGTAATAAATGTGACCATATTTCTTGATAGGGTAGATACTGAGAGTGAAAGGAATTCACATTATTGCAGATGAAGACACTGAATTTGAAGTTTTGCCTTTCACTTGAACGCACAACAGCCACATGCATCTATTCTAACTCTTATGCAAATCAGTAACTTTTTGACTGGTTAAGTGTCCATGTTTGGGGAAATTATAAGATAACCATTCAACTATTATTCAAAGCTGCTTTTATACATGATAAGATAAATACATATTACATAAATCTTAAATTGCAAATATAATATAATTCAAAGTATTGAACTCAGCATGAATTGCTTCCTACTTGAGCTTCAGTTACACAAGTTCGATTGAATTGAAGCTAACTAAAGTGGTTAGTTGACCGCATTGAATATATGTGAATTCAAGCAAGGAAATTATTTCATAAAAGCATCAAGAAATGTAGGAAAATATATCTTAAATTTTTATATATTTTTTTATTTAAGAATGCATTAAGCTGTTTTTAGCATATGAGAGATTATGTAAAAAACTGAACAGCAATAAAGACAAAGTTTCTAACTACATAACTACAAACTTCATTTAGAGAAATTAGGTATGTGTGAACGTCAGTATTCATTAGCCCGTTGTGATATAACATAAACGAAGCAGGGCTTCTAATAAATTATCACCCATCGTTGAACCTTTTTATTGCTATAAATTTTGGTAACCGTGTATGAGCCTCATTGACATGATATGAAATATCTTACAACTGATATTAACTTAGTTAATTAGTTAGTTAGTTGTGTTGGAGGTAAGAACGAATTCTCCTCAGTTTGCTAAAAAAAAGCAAAATCTCTTAATAGAGGATAGTAGAGAGAAGGTCAAACTAGAACCAGCCAGAGGCATTTATAAAACCAACACATTAACTTATAATAGTCATTTTTAAAGCAGTGAAAGTGCTTAAAAGTATGTGATACTTATACTTGAGGTATGTCAAACTATAAGACAGTATCTGGTCATAACATACTTTTCCAATGCAGTTGTAACTTCCTTCCTGTCATTGGTACAGCCACAACTGTAGTTATTGGATGTGATATCTCTTCTTAACTCATGTCAACCTATAAGACAATGTCTGATAAAATCTTCTGTTGCTATTGAAATATAATGGCTTTGCCTGGCAAAAACTCGTTGATGTCTTTAAGTATCATTTTCGCCAAAAGAGACTTACGTCTAAACTAATTATTTCATATATCCATTGTTCAATGTACCCCAATGAATCTTATAATCTTATTTTTTCCATAGTTTTTACAAAATAAAGTAGTTATATCATATGGTTTTGTCAATATGAAATCTATTAAGTGTACTCCAGTTCGTTGGTCTCAAGCATTCAAAAATATCAACTGGATTTAGCCTTATTAGTTTATATAATAACTTATTATTTATTATGATCTCAAGTCTTTTGCATCGTATTTCTCTAATATGTGCCTTGGCAATTCAATTTCTTCATCGCAGAATCTACATATGAAACCTATATTCCTCGTCCATTGAAAATTAGAAAGTTCCTATGAGGACAAGTATTTCATAAATTGATTTCATTTAAATCATCTTAATTTTACTGATATTTCTATTGGTAGTTTAACTCAATATATCCAAAAATTTTAACAAATAAAAAACTATCCAATAAAAAATAAAAAAAAAACAAATCTATTTATTATTTTTTTTTTCAAATAACCAAAATATAATATGTATATATACATTTAGGACAATTCCTTTAAAAAATTTTATGCAAATAAATTTTACCGTAATGAACATCAACGTTTATTTACCTGGTCATCAATTTTTACTCTTGTGATTTTATTTCTAATAATTTAAAGCCTCAAATGTACCAAAATTTGATAATAAAATCTGTAGAAAAAGTAGAAGGCCTGTAATGAAAAGAACATTTCAGCATTTGCATTTCAAGCAGACTATATCTAACTAAGTTTCGAGAATGGCGGATGGGGCTCCTTAAATCAGCGTTTCAACGATGCGCTTCATACTTAAGGGAAGTAAATATTTACTCTATTCCATTTGGATATCAAATTTATTATCTAAAAAATTTATGCATAAAGTGAATAAAGCGTAAAATACGCTCACAAAAATTTATGATTGCAATTTGCTTGATTTGTGCGTCCAACGTTGATTTAAAATGCTAATTTTCATGTGAGGAGGGGGGAATGAAATAAAATCGGAAAGCTCAGCAATTTTCACGGCTTTAAAATTGTACTTAAAACGTATTTTGGGCATAAAATAGAAATAAACGATTTAATTAGCTAACGGAAAGCTTATTAAAAATGTAAATATTTTGAATTGTTGCCGAATAAATTACAGTTTCCCTCCACCCAAAAAATGAAATGCAAATGATACAATCATAAATAAAATAAGTCAAAAGTCTATAGTATATCTATAGTAACTTTCTTTAATTAGATACACTTTTTAATTATTATTTTGATAACAACTTTTAATGGAACATATTTATTTACAGTTGGCGACAACATCTGCACATCAAATATCGACTGTATCCCACCTAGTAGCTTTGGCCAATCAACAACATGCTGCAACAACATCAGGAACAAAATCTCAGAAACATATTTCTTTAGAGCTGACCACCGTATCAACAACAAACACAAACGCCGATGTAGAACTTGCGACTACAGCAATTACTTCACCCACCAAAATCACAATTGTAGCATCGAATGGCACAAATAATATTGAAGTGCTGGAGGATCCACAATTGCAACAACAACTCCACCAAGTACAACAACACACCACAACTGGCGGTGCCAGTACCTCAAATGCCACTACAATTACTTCCATATCCGCAATTTCACCACAAACACCAACTGCTTGCCTTGGTGCTTGTAGTCAAATGCATCAATTGAGCGACTCTGCAAGTGCATCCAACCAAGTTACCCCAGTACCGAGACCAAAAAATTCACAATATAGTATATCGAATCCATTGCATAAGGTAGCAAAGCGTAAGGAAACTCTTGAAGCCAAGCGGGAACGTAAGGCCGCCAAGACTTTGGCTATTATAACGGGCGCCTTTGTGGTTTGTTGGCTGCCATTTTTCGTAATGGCGTTAATGTTGCCACTTTGCGTTGCATGCCGCGTCAACGATAGCGTTCTTTCACTGTTTCTTTGGCTTGGTTACTTTAATTCAACGCTCAATCCAGTCATATATACTATTTTCAGTCCGGAATTTCGGCAGGCGTTTAAACGGATACTTTATGGTGCTCACCGTTCTGCACATTACCGCAGCGGCAAAATATAAATAAAAATGCTCAATTGTGAGGTAAGAAAATATTAAGAATTATTTGATATAATATAAACATTTACAAACATGTATTTACATATACTATATATGTATATGTAAAGTACTTCATTGTAATATATTACTGCATATATCACATAGGCTATCATGAAGTAAATTCAAACTACAAATAGTTCAAGTAGTGTAAAACCATTCGTTATCTTAATTAAGCAAGATAAATACATAGTCAAGTTGAAGGAGCACTAACTAGACTTGAACTATGAGACTGAAGAACACCCGCACGCAACTGATGCTTCTGGAGAGACATGCTACGTTAGACCTAAACCCGATAACGAGTTATTATAGCCAAATAAAAAACAACTCAAATTTAAAGTCAATCTCACAATATTAAAGCTGATAAAGCATTATCTCTGTAAACTTAATCATATCCGTATTAAATTTAAATACAAAACTTTGCACAGCACAATATATATTGATCCCCATTTTCGTAAATACTTGAAATTGACCGATAGAAAAGACTATTATAAATTATTTAGACAATATTTATATAATTATTAGAAGTGACAATGGTACAATGCGATCGATAAAATCTCTTCTGTTACACCTGGAGAGAGTCTTAGTTAACTCAGACATTTTAAGACTGCTGACAAACCAAACAATAATTCTTGATTCACAATCCCGGACTAAATTTGACAGACTAAAAGCTGCCAAAGAATGTATCGCAAAGCGTTGTAATATAGTAATAAAGAGAGAGAGAGAATCTTAGTTAACCCAAATCTTTTAAGACTTTGACAAACCAAACAATATTTCTTGATTCACAATCCCGGACTAAATTTGACAGACTAAAAGCTGCCAAAGAATGTATCGCAAAGCGTTGTAATATAGTAATACAGAAAGAGTGAAAGCCATAGTTAACCCAAATCTTTTAAGACTTTGACAAACCAAACAATATTTCTTGATTCATAATCCCAGATTAAATTTGATAGACTAAGCTGGCAAAAGGATATATCACAAAGCGTTGTAATATAGTAATACATCTGCTTAGTGTTCGAGCACGGCACTTTCCGGGCACCCTGTATATTAAAGTAATATGTTTGAAAAATATAAATAAAATAGATTAAAGTATTATCCTAAAGCTGTGCTTCTTATAAAGAAGCACTTCTTAAAGTGTAATAAAGATCTAAGATTCGTCACACTTAAGTACCAAGATAAGCTTCGCTGGGTTGCTAAAAATGTTTTTTCTTCGCACTTAATTTGTTTAAGTGAAAACTTAGCGGTCTGACTTTAACAACATAAAGTCTTTACAAAAAAAAAAAAAATACATAGCAAATCTATTGAAAAACCTCACTCTATCTCGTTATAATTTTCTTCAACGTTCTACTGGGAAAACTGCTTTCATTGTTATTTGCATAAATTTGTGTAGTAGCGATTGGGGAGTTTGAGATATTAGTTGTGCAGCAAGGAACTTTGTCGTAAGAGAAACTAATAGAAATTGCATTAACGCACACACACATGCATAATTTATATGTACAAAAACTTCAAAGCAAAAAGTTATACAAGCGCGAAACTCAGGGAATAACGTTGAAGGAGTTTAGCGTGTGGAGTCCTGAAAAAATGCACTTTACAGTAAGACAGTTTCATTGTCACGAAAAAAGGATAATGTGGTGTGTGATATTTTAAATCTAAAAAGAAAACAGCATCTGAATGAAGAAAATGCTTTAAAGAAGGATTTCTTTAATATATGATATATGTTGAACCAAAATAAAGTTACTCGAAATTTTATTACTCAGACTTAGCTACAAATATTAAATGTATCTAAGTATATATACTTTGAGATATATACTTTATATATATAAACTTCAAAAAATTTTATAACAGATTTTCAGGAACATTAGATATAGTTAGGCCTGTGTGTACAATATTAGTATCTACACATACACATATTAGTGCATAATTTTGTATGTAGTACACAATTTTCATGTAGATACATATTTTCCTTAATATATTTCAATTATTCTGGTGTCATATGGATAAAGCGGTTTCACTTTTCTTGTTCTTTACTAATTCTAAAAAAACTTCTAAAGTTTGCATTTCATTTTATTTCATTTTTTTTTTAAAGTTTGTGCAATATTCTTACCAATATTGCCCTTGAGGGTCCTATCTTGTTGCACAGAGTTGGTTGCATTTACTTAAAAACTAATGTTCACCAAGCCCCAATGGCATTGCGAAATATGAGAAAATAATTAGGAATAAGGGTTCACAAACAAAACCTAAACATAAAATGCACTTAAAAATATTTGCTCCAAGCAATTAAAAAAGTGTAAGTATTTAAATGCTTGAAAATAATATCTACAGAAAACGTTTACCATTGAATAATACACATATTTAAATCTAAATCTTCTGTTTCACTAATTATTTCAATATATCTTAAGGAATTTTCTGCAAGCACTAAATAATATTTATAATATTTAATGAGTTTATAATTAGGATCTTAATACTATCTCAGTGAGATAGCCACTTTGCGTACTGTGTGGATCTTGTATTGTTCTGTCGCTACATAATACTTCATAATAATTGAAGGCAACTTTTTTTTATAGTTCTCTTTTTATACTATTTTAGTTTTGTTTATTTATTATTATTATTTATTATTGTTAATTATTATTATTATTATTGTTAGGGAATATGCCACTTCGACCGTCGGGTCTATTGTGCCTCATTCTGGGCTTAGAATAGATCTCTAAGTCTACTACTCTAAAAAGTAGTATAGAATCTACTTTACAGAGTTATTCCCATTAGCGCAACACATGTGTGGTCGACACCTCATTCTCTTCACAGAATCCACAGTTTGCATCCGTAGGTACACCCAGTCTCGTAAGGTGGTGTTTTAGTTGACAGTGTCCTGTTAGGATTCCTGTGATAATTCTAAGTTTTTCTTTTGATAGGTTCATACAATCCTGTTATCTTTTATTGTTATAGGTGCCATTAAGTGATTTAGATCCTTTTTAATGCTGGTAATCCTTTATTTCTATGATAGAAAGGAGCTTAGTATATTCTAGTCTACAAAAGGGTTTCGGCGTCATTATCGGGTTTGTTGACTTTAGATAAATATCATTACTAATTAGGGTAATGATTAGATTGTAGTGGAGGGCGGCTGCTCAAAGCCAACTTTAGCTAAAATAATACTGAATTAAATGTAATTATTAATACTGATCAATTTTTGCTTAGTCTAATGAAGTGATAAACAATAATCCAGTCAAGGCATAAAGAGAGGTTTTAAAGAAATCTAGCAGTTAATAGAGAGTAAAAGTGCTCAAGTGCACTGACTGACTCAACTAGCTTCAACATAATATTAAATAAATAAACTCAATATAATTCAATTAATTTTGTATGGATAAGTCTCTAATATCATACGTCATACGTAGCATTCAACATTTTTCTTTTGAATGCGTAGTTTTGAAATTTCATGCATTTTAATAGAAAGCAGCATCTATTTATATAGATATATAGATATATATATGAAAATAATCAAATTATAATATAATTATAATTAGCAAAATTCAATGCCTTCTAATTTCTGTTTGCATTTAATCGCTTACTGTCAAATTCATTAAAAGTAATTTTCGTTGTCATTTTTATTTGTCAGCAGCTTATGAAATGGCCATTTTCAATTTACTGTATTAAAATCACATAATGATAACCCACAAAAGAGGGAAAATTAAGAAAATCTAGAAAAGTACAAAGTCTCTAAAAACTTAACCTCGCCGCCGTCATACTTAAAACATCATTATAGAATTGGTGGCACCCGTCCCCCGCTGCAATTCCTGCTAATGACAAAATGAATGCCACTTCTTCCGCTCTACCCTACGTCCTCACGAAAAAAAAATATTGGTCTTATCAAGCAACACAGCTGCCAAGCACAAGCACAAGCACAAAAACAAATAAAAACTAAAAACTTTTTTATTTTCGGTTATTGGAAATACTTAATTCAAAGTGTTGCGCAGAGCAGATTTTTTGCGCGCCAAAATGCTTTGCCACTCAAGAAATTACTCAGCAATTCCACGATTTCCTAGTCGTAATAACTTTTCACAATATTTCCTGCAGATAAATGAAAATTATTGAAGTTTTCGTTTTCTTTTCAATGAAATTTTGTAAATGAAAAACTAACGAACAAGAACTTCGCTCCTATGAACCTAAGAGGCTGTTGATGGCGCTGTTGTTTTTGGTTTTGTTGTCAAGTGTTTTTTGCGCCACACTTCACCAACGGAAACGGAAATAATACGCACACACACATACACACACACGCACAAATGCTTACTGGCAAGCGCTGAAATGGCCTTAGGCGTTGAAAAAATCTTTTATTGAAAAAGAAATTTAAATTGATTGGTTGATGGATTATTTTACATCCTTTCGGTTGCTTTTAACTAACAGAAGGATAAAAACTGTCATGTTAAAGGTTCAACAAGGGTTCTTATTTTATTGGGTAACAAGGCAGCACATTGAACTATGATTATTTGAAAGTGCTTACGGTGTCTAAAAATATAAATATAAATTTTTACATATTTGCGTTTTTGCGTTTTTGCGTATTTGCGTATAAAAAAATAATGAAATTCTTCAATTCAGGAATCAAGTTACGCATTTTTAACGAAAAAAAAATATTTAAAGGTCATTTCATCAATTTTTATATATTTGTATAAACTATATATATTAGAATTGTGCATTCTAATGAAATGACTCTCATTTGGACTCTCATTAATAAAAACTCAAAATTATTTAAATTGTTTATTTCCATAAAAATACATCTGTTTCGAATAAAACAGTGGGTAATACTATAGTAAGGAATATTAATCTAAACATATATAGTAATACACTATCTCTTATATCGTCGATTATTATTATTAACAAGTGCAGATTTTGAACCTAGTTAAATTTGTAAAGCAAGCGGAGGTGTCAAGAAACTAAGTCAACGCTGCATTCGATTTGTATTAGACAAAGTTTTAATTAATTTCATTTTTTATATATTAACTTATATATATACCACTTTCTAAATAAATTTTTATGTATATCATACCATCTATTTATGTATAAGTTAACACCCACGTATTCTCAATTCTGGCCCTGCGCTTGGTTTCATTAACGGAGTAATCATGCGATATTATTCGAACATATGATTGCTGCCAAGTGGGACATAATCTTGTTTGACTGGAAAAGTTCCGTTTGGCTTCGGTAGCTCTCAACTCCACATGCTCGTTCAGTTTTACTTAGGCTATTAAGTGAACCACACGTGAAACATAAACCTCGTTTTTATTTAAAATATTATAATTAACTATAATTAGCTTCGGTAGCTCTCTGGCTTCGGTAGCTCTCAACTCCACAGACTCCACATGCTCGTTCAGTTTTACTTAGGCTATTAAGTGAAGCACACGTGAAACATAAACCTCGTTTTTATTTAAAATATTATAATTAACTATAATAATAAATTTAATATCATTGTATATATAGTAATAAGTTATATCATAACAGGCAGTTATTCTAGTATTATTATATGATGCTCTAAAAAACACACGTATCAGGATGATGCACCGATAAACGCCCTTTTAGAAATTCCAAGGAATTTTCGCCGGCATCAATTGAAGTTATGTTTGACATAACTTACTTCTTGATGAGGAGCAAGGCGCAAGGTACTGTTTTTTGGGTCACAGCACCCGATATACATACGCAATTTCACGCCAAATAAAAGTAAAATACAATCATTCTTCCCGCATAAGTTTTAGTATTAACCACAGCCACCATGACACTTCCAATCTTAATAGATCAGAACAGCCGAAGTTCCGGGCAACTGACTCCCGTGTTACCAGATTTACACATCCTATAGGATGTCACAAGTGGAGACACTCACCTAATACTGTTCACACTCCAAACAGTGCCGGATTAACGCCGGGAATTTAGCCTCCTCTTACGACCGGTAGGCCTTACTTCAGAAATATTCTAACTCCTTACCCGCAGGGGGATCATATCGTACAATTTATAATGCCATCTCCTATTTTCTTCAAAACTCAAAATCTGCTGATTGAGCGGTGATAAATGTTTACAATGTTTACAACTATTCTAATCAGCACTGCTAAATCACCCACAATGCACTAGCCCGCTTCCTTGGCTAAACCCACTTAAGTCATCTTGAGGTTCAACTATCCAACTTCTAAGCAACTTCACAAGTTGCAATTGCACCATTGTTGTATGATTATAGTGAAATTTATTTGATTCTCTGTGTGATAATCTTCAAGTTAGCTATATACCCCAAACTATGGCATTGGATCATAAGAAAATAATGATATTGGATCATACTAAAATGTTTTATATTTGAATTTGACAAAACCGTATATGCTTATACTACATGTTTTAAAATATCTGAGCATGTTATGTTTTCCATAATTGTCTCCTTTAACGGAGACCATCTTGTAATCATGTACCCTGAAGAGACAATCTTTTGTTCATACACCAATCAATATTTCGCAGTTCCTTCAAGAGACAGTGAGATCAAATTTCTTGAGTTTTTCGTTTCTATCCGTTAGTGATCCGTCTCTATCCTATCATTGGTTCTATTAACAAGATCTGATCTGATTGGCGTACAACCTGAAAACTAATTAAGTTTTAAGTTGGTAGATATAAAAAAATGTTTAAATTAACAAAAAGGACACTAAATTCGTAATTATATTTTTCACTTAAATGACACACTTTACCTTTACTTTGTAAAGTTTCCTTTGGGAAAAATGCATATTTCTATTAAAAGGATTTTTTGTATAAGAAAAAGTTTAGTGAATAGGCTTATATTTCTTTATTTTGTAATTATGAATAGAAATCCACTGTAAATATTTATGCTCTAATAAATCAAGTAAATGCTAATGAAGATTGAACCCACAAAGTGTGGTTAAGCCAAATTATTCCTTTGACTTTGCATTATTCAAATCAGATGCCAAGAAATCAACTATAGAATTTATTCCTTTAATTATCCTTAATTTTAAAGTATTTACGATTTCCAAAAGAAAAAGTCAGGCTACTTGAACCGTTGTTTGAAGTAAAGGACCTTACTTTTTTAACGTAAAGGTAACGAATATTAACTAAAGATTAGAATTAAAACAATTTATAAACAAAAAAAAAATCCTTTTAAAAAACTTGATCCTTTAATTAAAAGAAAGAATGTACCAGCAGCAGCTTTGTTCTCAATAATTAACTATGTATAGCATAAAATAAATTGAATACGTACGAAGGTAGAATAAATGCTTAATAGGCGCAAGAATAATTTTTAAATCCACAAAAAAAGGCATTTCCGTTTCCTCTCATTTATATTTTTATTGCAATTTTATTTTATTTTTTTATTACGAATTTTCATTTCTTCTTGAAAGGTAACCTTCACAACTTAACTCCTTTCAGATTTTAATGACAGCTTACAGAATATTTAACCTGAAAGTGAAACTCAATATAATTCGACATTAAGATAATTGAACCTTTTACAGCTCCTTCAGCAACTCCTTCAAGGATATGCTCGAAGATACATCATAAGGTGTGTGCTGTGCTTAACGAATTTTGTTCTTAAATTAAAGGATAAAATTTATAGCTTATTAATAAAAAATAATTAACAGAAGGATATCTACGTTAATTGAGAATTAGGCACAAAAGGAATAATTTATGCGATCATAAATTCTTTTGGACTTTTAATGAACAAAAATGTATGGAATACTAACGATTTTTGGCACAAAAACTCAATATTTTCAAAAATATTTTCATTTTTTAATTTCTAAGATATGTTTTTATGGAATAATACGATATTAAATAAATTAACCCATAAAAATTTTTTTTTTTAATTTTAATTAATTCGAAATAGTATATTTAGTCTCCATAAAGCTGACATTTATGATTAGTTATAACGTCGACCACTGTTTAGAAGCAAAAAGTTAATCCGATAAATGGAATACTCATTCATAAAGAAATTATCCGGTCATCAAAAAAGATGTTCAATCTGATAATTTTTTGCCTCTACTTCGAAGAGTTTAAGCGTCAGAGTGCAGAATAATTGCAGAATATTCGATCTGTCATACTTTAAATAATATAAATGATTCACAATAAAAATAATGTAGATTACTTGGTTTCCTAGAGTCGATGATATGAGTAACACCCAGAGGAAAGCTTAAAGTGTTAACTGTTACCAATTGCATTATTTATATATGAAGTTTATGTAGGCAGTCCAAAATTTAAAACCCATTGAAATTACTTATGAAGTGGTTCCAATTGAATAGATTTGCAGCCCACTTATGACTATGTATCATCTATATGTATACAATATGAAATATATAGATTTTATTCTTTATAAATGATATGCTAAAGTTTTGTTGAATCTTGTAAAAATTCTAATGAAATCCACTGATTTAATTGAGATGTCCTGCCGAGATATCAGTGTTCTATTTTAGGATTCTTGAAAACTCTCCACAATAATTCTCACTAATTCTGAATTTTGATTAGCTATAAGAACAATTAAGGAGGTACTTAACAACTACTTTGTCACTGTTGAGCACATTTGCAATGTAACTTGACTATTTTCTTCAGTTAATATGTTCGGGTTGTACACAGTACCACAAGAACGTGAAACCTAGAACCTAGAATTTAGTTCAAATTATGCTAAACTATTGAAACTCTTTCATAAAATGATGATATACTGTATAATATAATATAGAGAGATTTTTCGAACAACACTGAATTGCAACAACAAAATTTTATTATTTAATGTTAATTTTTTGGAATAGCAAAGAAAAGGCAAGAACAAAATTTTAGTTAATTTATTGAAATTTGGCTGAGCACATAACGCTGTTTAGAGTATTGTCAATGACTCATCATCAGTGGTCTTAGGCAATATTCGAATCAATTAGTTTATAGCCCATATATAATTTGTTAGGACTGTAAGCCCCAGGCTTAGAACTCGTGCCTGTTAAATTGAAAGCGATGACTAATCATGTTTTTGCACAAGTAGCCAAGTCTGCACAAACGTTTAATGCTCAAGTTCCAGGTTTTTTATCACTTTTTTTTACTTTTAAAGTGTCACTAACCAAAGCACTTACCGTGCTTTAAATTAAAACGAGCTTATAAACCATAACTTTATTGGAAAACATAAGTTCGGGGAATTTTTGAAGTTTTCTATATTATCATTTTAATTAATTACTTTACTGCTTGTTTCGAAATTTAACAATTAAAAATAACTACATTTTATTAATTTAATTATTCTATAGCTGTTTTATAATTGCCTTCTAAGTACGACTGCCTTTAAAGTCGTGCCTTAAAGTACGACTTTAAGGCAATTGGTTAAGTAATACTGACTCTGGTACTGGTTACTAGCAGTCTGAAAATATTATTTACGAATAATTAAATATAATACCAAAAGGACATGTGTATTGTCATTACTCGAAGCAGCTTAATGGTCAACCAAAATTAAATTAACTAAAATCAAAAAATTTTGTTCTTGCAATTCACTACTGTTCGAAAAATCTCTCTATAAAATACTATAAAATTTAAATATTTAAAAATAGTATTTAAAAAATACTATAAATTTAATTATATAATATATTTAAGATTTTATTTTATTTATAGATAACTTACGCGTTTCATAAAAAATAATGGAGCAACTTCAAAATATCCTGGAACCACTTTTATTATTAAGGAACAAATTAACTACTAACAAATTAGTAAATAATAAATTCGCTTTAAACTTGAAGTAAGTTCATATATCTAAAATAAAGTTTGTGCTATTAAGTTTTTTAGTATTCTTTTAGAATTTATAAAATATTGTTATTATACTTAATAAAAAAAAAATACTGTTTAAAATTGCTTATAATTTTTAGTTCAGAGGCTGTTATTAACAAAAAAAAATAGTAATGAAACTTTAATTAAATAGTATGAATATTTCTGTATATAATGTAAGTAAAATTGATCATTGCTTAAAAAAAGCAACTAGAAGTAAGAATTAGATTAAGTAACTTGCATATCTGGTAATTTGTGGTTTTAAAAGTCAATATTTCATGAATAAATAAAGTTAAGCCAATAAGATTACGTAGTTGTGAGAAAAATCATTTTTTATACAATTTTACAAACTATACATATACCATCAAATTATTACTTATAATCATTTATTAGCATCAAAAAAAAAAACAAAAACAAAAACATATGGAACTAATATATTAGTCTAGAGTAAAATTGACATAAATACGACTATATCCTAGAAGAAGAACAAATCAATAATATTTTTTCCATTATAATCAGTTGCGACATTTTTAGATCAGTTAAGTTTATTTTTATTTTGATGGATACAAATGATTTATTTTAATTTAGTCTTAATTTAATTAACTAAATTTTGAAACTCCAACATTAATAAATTTGCCTAAATATATTTGCGTTGACATTATGAATTTAGTATAAAATAGTCCCCATCGTGAGTAGATGGTCCTACATACCAATATTAGAAGAGCAGTTCAAGAAAGCAAATTTCTACATATTTTCCTTTCATTATTGCATTACTCTGCATCTTGGATACAATGACCATTGCATTCCAATGTCCATCTAACTTGCTGAAAAGTTTAATTTATTAATCCTTAATGTTTTTTTAAATACTATCATTTTGTAGACCTAATATATATAGGTGATATATAACATATTAGTTTTTAGTACTCCACTATGCTTTGACTAATCTGTAGCTGTTAATTAGTAAAAGTATCTGATTTCCATTTAACCACTCATCCATTTAGTTAATAAATTGTTATTATGAATATATATTATAATACACTTTAAAGTGGACTCAATTATATTCTATTTTCTCGCTTCTTCTTTCATTGTTCAGATCTTGTTTTGCGTTATCTCCAGAACATAATACTAAGTTGGGTCTTCATATATGCTCCAACAACCTCCGTCGTTATTAGCTGTAACGATGACATTCCTCTGCAGATCTTGCACTAAATTTGACTTGATTCTTCTTCTTTTCCCCTTTCCCATCTCCTTATTTACTGTCTCCAAGTTGCACGATCTTAAATTGTGTTCTCGTTTACGCTTTAATTTCGCATGTCGTTGTTCACTATATTTTTCTATATTTTTCACCTTCTTATCTTCCTTTTTGTATCATTTCGCTATCATTTCGACTATACTTGCCTAGCCGTATAGTCGTCTGGCCTTAGCGACGACCTACTGGGACTTCTTTTTGAGCCACTCTTCTGCAAATCTTGCTCCGTCATATGTTCATCGATCTTAGTTATATATTAAATGCTTTTCTATCGTCTCTTTTATATATATATATATATTTTATTTTGTATATGATTGAAATTTTTTACACATATTATTTATTCCTCGACAAACGTACGAATATAATATCAAAAGCTGCTATGAAGCATATATTGTAACCACAAGTACATATGTATTAATTACGTATTAATACATATATATTAATTATGTACGTAGTACATAGTTACTACACTGATTTTTTCATTATTATATACTATAAATAAAAATAAGTAAAAAAGTACTCTTCGATTCCTACGTGCTAAAAACAAAGGTCTTCAGTGAACTTGTTCTAGAAGCACACTTTTCTCAGGCTATATATAATAAGTTCCTTACCCAAAAAACCGAAATACATGTACTGAGCGATGCAATTTATGCTTAATAGCTGTAATTTTTTCTCAAAAATGATTTGTTCTTCAATTAAAGGGTAATAATGTATATATATATATATACGGATATATCTATATATATGCATATATGTGTATAATAAAGTTCCTTTGATATTTTGCAAAATAATTGAAATCGGTTGAAATCGAAAGTGGTTGAGGCAATAGTTGTTTTGAGCCCACACTAAGCCCTGACTTTACTTTTCAATAAATGGTATATACACATATGTATAGAAGTTAAAAATGGAGAAAAGCTCAAAAAGCAAGAGAAAAGTTTTGAAATAAAATGGAATAGAAATTAAAAAATGTAATTAATACTATAATACTTAAAATTAATATAGCATAACTACATTAATAAGTATACAAAGATATATTTAAAGAATTTTTACAGTGCTAAGCTAGCTCATAAGTAACTATGTTATGTATTCTGCATGTTATAAATGATTAACTCTAACATGTCCTTTAAAATTTATGTGTTAAATAAAAAAAATTATATATCAAGGAATCACTGTAACTGAAAATCAAATTTAAACTCTCTCTAGTGAACTTAGCAAATCTCCTAAACTATAGTAAAAATATTATACTTTATTTAATTTACTTCTTGAATACTCGTACTAACACGAGTCCATTAATTCCGTATAGAAAATAGTTAGCAATATTAAGTGTTTCTACTAAAATAAAAAATTAATTATATACTTAATAGTAAATTTAAACTTAAAAATGTTAGTAAAATAATTAAATGTAAAATAGTTTAATTCGCTACAAGAATTTAGTGTTCATTTCCTAAGTAAAATCGTACTATATATTATTCAAAAATAATGGTAATTATCTCGAAGATTTATATTGTGTACATGTCATATAGCAAAAATAATTATTAAAATTAATTTAATAAAAAAAATTTTGTTTTTTAAAATTAGGCATGTTGTAATCAAGTCCAAATATTTATTGGATCGAATACTTGTTCGGCATTATGGGTATAACAATTTAAGATAAATTTTAAGATAAAGATAAAAATTAATTTTCATCAATATTAACATAAAATTGTATATTAAATTATAAATTAAATTTAAAAAAATATTCGTTGTTATAATGTCATGCTGATATATTAAAATTACTTTTAGCGAAAATTTCATTTTTCAATGAAATTCCATTATAGTTCTATTATTCAAATTAACAAAAAATTCTTATTATTAATATTGACATGTTGTACAATAATAAGTCATATAGTATAAGCATATTGATATTATAATGTCCAATATAATAATTATATATATAAATATGTATAGATAAGTAACATACTAACTTTTCTTTAAATGTTGCATAAAGCTTTTCCTTCAATTAATTAAGCAAATAAAAAATATTTATTTAATATATATAATATGAAAACATTGTTTAATATAATAATACTATATAAAGATCTGCTAAATACAGAAAAAGTGTGTTTAGTGCAACTCTAAAGCATATTGTGCTATTCAATTAAAAAATTGTAAAATAAATGTTTTTAAGTTTAAACCTGAAATATATAAATCGGGTATATGTTTTAAACTAGCTTTCCTCAATGGATTTAACTACAATATACACACGATATATAGCACTATTTTTCAACATTAAAAATGATTTTAATTAAAATTGAAATTTTCTAATGAGCTTAATTAAGATGCTTATAATTAATTAAGAAAATACTATTTGTCTTATATTTTTACATAGTAATACAATTTGAATGTTTCAAAACATACACATACGTTAATATTTTAAGGAAATTTACAAACGATTCCGTTGCTAATAATGAACATCATCATTAACGATATAACTTGTGTCCATTCTTCAGTGTCTACAAATCGTGCTTCCGTTCATCGCAATATCTAGCTTGTATTCTCTATCGAAACTCTTCCACGTCTGAATGATAATAACTTTAACATAACTCCTCTTCTTAAGTTTTAAGTCTTTGTCTACTGACAATCAAGTGAAAGATATTGACTTTTATATATTCACCTACTAAGAGAAGAACTAACCGCATCATTGCAGTAGACTTATGCCATAATATACTATATTCAATATTTATAATTTTAAAGGTTGACTAGAAATATTTACAAAACTTAAAATATTATAGTTAAGAAATTTAAATGATAAAATTTTTAATAGGCTTTCTTAAACAACTCTTTTCACTCATATAACAGTTAGTCAAGGAAACCCTGATATGTACGCAGAATATAGCTAGTTGTGTTTTGTTGACATTAAATCTTTAATGACAGAATTTCCTATCCCGCTTATAACAAACAAGTTTAACCCTAGTTCTATTGTTTTAAATCATATATCTCCAATACTTAATACCTTCCGAAATCTATTATAACAGTCTGACTGATTTGTAAAACAGTCTAATATTCAAAACATAACGTAGCATGAAAACTATTCAGAATCGAGAGTTCATTTGTAGAATGTGCTTATCCGAAAATAAATCTGTGAAGTTTTATATATATATACATATATTTATACATATATAATGTGATCAAATTGTGTTTGATTTGCTTAAACCGGCTGTCTAAGTAACCACATTAATATAATAACCTTAGCCATCAATCTTTTATATATAGGGACTAGAAAATTATTAACTTATTGGCACTCTTTTTAATATATATACGCTCCCTATGGTCATACTTATGAATAAGTGTACTAGATATTAAATTATAATGTGACACAATGAACAGAATTTTCGCTGAATTACAAATCAAAATCTATAAATAAATTTTTACTTTCTGCTTCTTCTCTATCAGTCACATTTGAGGTATAAAAACTATTATACAATGGATTATTTTTTCATTATGGAATATTAAAGATATTGCTTATGACACATATTTAGGAGAGATCTTTACCTCAATATTTATTTATACAATTCATTTTCTTTATTAAGATGGATTAATCATCTTTAAAATCAAGAGTTTTAAAGAAATTAAGATTTTCGAGAAATTCTACAATATCTATTTTTTTTTTTGTTTTCCATGTTTT